CCAGCCGCGGCTTCCGAGCCAGACCCGGGTCCCAGAGGTCCCTCGGCCCCGGCGCTGGCCGCACCGTCTCCGACCTCAGTTTCCCCATCACGGCAATGGGGCCGACCGGGGCCTGCGCCCAGAACGGGCAGCCGGACCTCAGCTTTGGGCGCCGACGGGCGGTGACTGGGACGCCGGGGGTCTGTGTGCCGCCCCCGCCCCGCGGGGACAGCGCGGACCGCCCGGCCCTGCAGCCAGCCCCACAGCTCCCCGCCACACCCGCGGCGCCCCCTGGCGGGCGGCCCGAGGGGCTGACCTGACCCCTGGGCTCGACCGGACTCGCCTGAGGGTCCTCTCCTCCAGGCCCCCATCCTGCAGCCTCCCCGGCCCTCACCACAGAGGAGGGGCTGGCGAGGCTGGGGCCACGGAGCGACGCTGGTCCTGCGGTCTTCCCTCCATCCTCGAGCACCTCAGAACAGTTACACTGCCCTGTATTAAGCACCACCTGTGTGCAGCCGGCTCCAACACCTGGCCCATCACAGGCCCACGGGGGCAGCAGGCGCTGGGAAGGCAGGACCCGACTTCTGATCCCACCCTTGGAGGAAGGAGCCCAGGCTCCAGCAGGCGGGGGAGGGGTCAGGAGGCTCCTGCTAGGGGCCCTAGCCACAGAGAGGTCAGAGGAAAGGACGCAGAGGCCCTGGGCCAAGGGAATGAGGACAGGGTCTGCCCAGTGGCCTGGGGCTACCGGAGGCTGCCCTGATTTGGGCGGCCAGGGCCTGGGCAGGTGGTGCCAACCCTGCTTGGGAGTTGCCGGCAGGTCCACCTGAGGCCAGGTAGAGTGGGGAGCTCAGCCTGAGGGACAGGGAGCCCCAGGGTGAGCCTTGTGGTGGGGCTCTGCAGTGGGGTCCCCGGTCCCGGTGCTCAGGGGCCTGAGTGACAGAGGCTGGGCTGGGGGAGGAGAATGGCCACAGCTCAGGTCCCCGAGGCCGCAGCCCGGGGCTTCTGAGGGGCAGGTGCCAGGCCAATGAGAGGAGGGCAGAGCATGGACCGGACCAGCACCAGAGCAGGCCAGCGGTGACCTTGAGGGGCATGGGACATTGGGCCTAATGCAGAGGTCCAGAGAGGAGGGGAGAGAAAGCAGCACAGGGAGAGTGGGAGCCCCAGGCCTGGGGTGGGGACTCGGGAGTGAGGCCTGGGCAGTTAGTGGGCAGCTGGATGCCCCAGAGGCTCCCTGATCATGGAGGCCAGTCCACTGCAGCTGCCTGAGGAGGCCTGGGCTGTGGGGTCAGCCGGGCTGCCCCTCTGGCCCAGGGTCCTCTGCCCCTGGCTCCTCTCTGTCCCGGGTGGGCTTCGCACCAGGCACAGGTG